GTCACTTTTTTGTGAGATGGGTGGTATCTAAATTTGAAATATAAATCAATCAATCAATCAATCAATCAATCTTCCTATTTTGTTAATCATAAGGCAATGTGTAGCTATTTGTGTTGGATTACCTTATTCATTGTTCAGGATAATGAATATTTCAAAATTTTCTTGACATCCTATTTATTACTATATTGACATTAAGATTTCAACATACCAACTTCCAAATGATCACACACATACTGCATATATGGCATTTCCATCCCTTTTTATAAACTCAGATGATGTGTCTCCTAATTCATACTAGCCTCCACTATACAATCCTAGAACTTCCACAGCCTCAATAATCCCTTAACAATAAGAACTATCATCTTGAGTAGCACCATTCTGTAATAAAGAACTGGCCTCAGAAAGAAATGGAAAAAAGAAGGGACAGACACCTTGTTTTCCTATCTCCTGCTATGACTAAAAGAGTAAAAAGAAGAGCCATACATACTGCCTCTTGAAAACAGAATTTATTAGAGCAGATCACCTGATATGGTGAGTAAGGAAGATGACCTTGATGGAAAAAGACAGATCTCTTACCAAAACAACAAGAAGGAAAACACGGCTTAAGCCCAAAACAAGAAAGTATATGTAGATGTCTCACACTGTTACCCTAATTCACATGGATTCACAGACTTGCAAGATTCTATTACTATAGTCTTTCTTAATAAAAGTAGTTTTAGAATTCTGTGAAATTTATTTTTTGGCATGTTCTACATGGTGGGGATGGCATCAAAATAGGCTAATTACAATAGATACACATTATAGATACAATGAAGAAAATAAATTCTGTTTTATGAAATTAGGAATATACATACTTGGGGGGGTGTATGCGTGCACATGCACGCGTATATATATATATATATATATATATACACATACATACATACACACACACACACACACATGCATACACATACACACACACACACACACACACACACACACACTACAGCTTTTATCATTTTCATTACACTGATTACTGCAGTTTACATAACCACTTACTTTGGACTGAAAGAAAGAAAAACCACAGTTTTCTGATAAGGTTGTAGCATTCCTTCATTAGGAATGCATGTAATCAGAGTGGAAACATCTGTTCCTTGTTTTTCACCGGGGTAATCTTTTAAAGCAGCATTTGAACTCTTCTGAATATCTGTGCCCTTTAAGAAAATATAAAATGTACAATACACTAAAAGTTAATTACTTCATGTATTTGCATGGATGTTTCACAGAAAAAAAAATACAAAAAGAAAACATACAGTGAATCAATTGGGATTATATTATATATAAGATCAATAAACTTATTGAAAAAATAAGTTGTAAAAATGTGAACCAAACTTGTCGCTAAGTCTAGACCTCCACTAGCCTTGGATTTATTCCTTTAAGATATATCTAGCATAACATACCTAATTTAAAAAGAAATTTCTACAACAGGGGTCCTCAAACTTTTTAAACAGGGGGCCAGTCCCTCAGAATGTTGGGGGGCTAGACTATAGTTTGAAAAAAACATGAGGGTCCCTCCCGCAGAATATGAGGAGAGGAGGAGAGCCGCCAGACCCGGCATACCTGTCATGTAGAATAGTCCAGCTCTGCGATCTCCCTCCTCGTGCATCGCCTGCAGCTCCTGACACAGCCCCGACACTTCCGCTTCTGACAGACAGCAGCGGTGGCCAGTCAGGCAGGCAGGCCGGATAAATGACCCTGGCGGGCCATATCCGGCCCGTGGGCCGTAGTTTGAGAACCCCTGTTCTACAACATAATTACTATTCACCACCAAATGTCCAATGATATGACAGGCACATACTTGTCCATACACTTCAGAAATCCCAAAACTGTTGCAACATGTACCTGGTGTACGGTAACATCCCTACAACTCTCTCATGAAACCTTAATAATAAACAATAAAGTCATATAGTATCAAAGCAATGCATCGGTTTTTGTGATGGAATGGAATTATGAAGGCCAGGCTCAGGGAGATAAGCATGTTCTTAGTTCACCCCAAGAGCATGGGAAGTGCAAGAGGATGAGGCTGGCACCTCCCTGAGGAATTCACGGTGTTTTGACTGGCTGGCTTGGGAGCTAAGGTTCAGTCTGGCGAGATTCTTTCTAGAGGTTGTAGCTAATAAACACAGCAGAACTGAATTTGCATTGTCTCTTGGAGTTCTTTGGGCTAAACCTGACAGTTTTAGTTCCACTATAACACAGTGTCTATGTTCAAGTTGTACTTTTTCCCACAGGGTCACTGATACCATTCTTTTATTTGTGGGAGAGATCAGAAGTGCATTTGTGGACATCACTGGAATGTAATCTAAATCTGTCTTTGGAAATGGCTTTTGAACACTTACATGAACTGTGTTTAAAAATAAAACAAGCCCAAAACTGCCCTTTAGTTATAGTTCCTTGTTCACATTATCAAGTGCAAGAATAGTAGGAACTGTCATTTATATACAAATACAGTGGTACCTCGGGTCACGAACGCTTCTGTTCACGACCAATTCGGGTCACAAAC